GATATACTAATATACTAATTACATGGGATATAATAATATACTACACTAATAATGGATTTTTTCATACTTTTCGGTTATCCGACTTTTCAATTATCCGACCAACCCCAGTCCCCAATTGAGTCGGATAATCGAGGTTCTACTGTACTTTTATCACTTAATTTTACACTTGTAAGGATAAAATTACATCAAGACAAATGATTTTCATTCAAAATGTTATCCAGAATATTAAAAGCTTAAATTTATGCAAACTAAAACCTTATATAATAATTTTACTAATGTCATACTGAAAGTGTTTGGTCAACAGCTGCCGACTGAATGCTTTCATTAACCAAAAAACAATTGATATCCAAACATAAATATCTGAGATGTAAAAAAGTTGCACTTAGTAAAAAATTAACAATCAAATTTTTTTCCTTAAGAGTTTTTCTTTGATAAAGATAAGCTTGGCATTTTATAGCAGTGTCCAGAAGATTTTTACCTGTATAAATGTTATTTACATTTCACTTTGAAGTGCCAAGCTTACCTTTACAAAAAAACCTCCTAAGAAAAAAAAATTGAACTGTCATTCAAATTTTTATAATTTTTTACTTGGCACAACCTTTTTACTTCTCAGATGTTTTCTGTTTGGATCTTGTTAAAATCAATTATCAAAATTTATTTAACATAAATTTGAAAATTTTTGATAATTGATTTTATGGATTTTAAGGATTAAATGAAAAATATTAGAATAGGAAAGTTCTAGACAATAAATTAGTGATTCAATGTATTCTTAATCACAAACATGTAAAAACAGTTATTTCAATCATTCTTCGTTAGATTTTTAGACTAAACTATTAAGTATTCAATCAGATGTTTCAATGTGCCTTATATAATGTTTTGCATACTTGCTTTTATTTGGCATATAATTTAATATTTTTTAAATTATAAAGACAATCTGTTTTATTCACAGAGATATAATATTTAGTTTCATTCTACTTTGAAATTATTGTTATAAAAAAAATTTTATTTAGGAAGTAAATTTTGGTTGTGTCTACTATATAGAAAAATTTGTATGTATTAGTAAGAAATATTCTATGTAATAAAAATTAAATACAAAATTTTTTGTGAAGTGAAGAGCTATAAACTAAATGGCTATGTTGCAAGGAATAGATTAAAAACGTCAATCTAAATTATTTGGAATTAAGAGAATAGTTAAGATGATAAAAATACAGATGATAAATTCTGAAAAATTACTAATGATCTACTACTATATAAAATCGAAAAACTGGTTTTTGTCATGGTATGCCAAAAACAGCCACTAGGGGCACCCCTAGGTATTAGTTAAATTAACAATATAAATTCTTTTATATTTATCTTGTATAATTCAGTATATTATTATTTTTATTTGTAATAGGAATTTATTAATTTATGAATTTATTATTTATACCACGGAATGACATCGCACGCATGCTCTGATGCTTGCATTGGGCCTTTAGACTGATATATATATATATAACTGATAACACATTTTTATAAAAAATAACTATCCTTCTAACTTTTGTTCCTCTAACTATTGCTTAAGATTATCATTTTTAGCACTAAAGCTCCCTAGAAGTGCAAATAGAAGTGACATAGTACTTCCTCACAGATTTAATCACAAAATTACACAGCTTGTCAATTTTTCCAAAAAATTTAATTAGAGTAAATATAATATGTTGAAAACTGTTGATTTAAATAATAACTACAGTAATTTAGAGAATTTTATTTGTAAATTGAACGTTTCATTTAAGGACTAGCAAAATAATTATTTATTTATATCTAAAATATGATTTACATTGTGGGAGTTTGTTAATTTTTTAAAATTGCTGTGTTGAATGAGGGAGAACTGAAATTAATTTTAAAAAATGGATCTGTAACTGCTATTCTATAACTTATATTGCTTTTATTGAAATATTAGAATTTTTGTAAACTCATTCATAAAATGAGAAAATGATGAGATATCCTAACTGTATATGATCACAATATATATAATGAATATACACAGGGTGTTTATTTTCACATTTTGCAGATGCAAAAGAGATTTTTTTTCAGCATTGCATATGGATGCATTAATTAATACACCCACTATAATGTTTACAGTAAAATAAACAAATTCTTTCAAAAAAGCATGTATAAATCACACAGTAGTTCCAAGGCAATACATAAATTTTTCTATTTCTCCTGAGCTCAAGGATAATGGAAAAGTATGATTTTAAGATTTAGAACAGTGGTGTCAAACTCATAAAAGATCATGGGCCACCAAATAGTTTTTTGGAGTCTTTGGGCCACAGACAAAAAAAAAAGGTTTTTTTATATGTATTCAAAAATAACTCATTTGAATTTTACATTTATTTCTTCTTTAATAAATTTACAAAAATGTAAAAAGTATATTATTTCTATGTATTATCATCAAATGCTACAAAAAATTTAAGATTAGAGAAATTTAAAAAATTTTTATTTTTTACTAGAAACTTGGCATCATCTGGCAGAAACAATTTTATCAATATTGGGTATACTTTTTTATGATGATGATGTTACTAACATTCATATTAAAAAACATCATCAAGTTCAGGGCCATGGGACTCTCATTACAAAGTCTCCAGAGCCGCATATGGCTGTGTGTTTGACACCATTGATTTAGAACAGGGCTTCTTAAACTATGGGTTGCGACCCCATTTGGGGTCATGAGATTTTAATGCAAAATATTGAAAATAATTTGTGAGAGTTTGAAAATGGCATGCTTTGTGTCATAGGTTTTGTGAGTTGCGCTTTGTGTCACTTCTGGTGCAGCGAGACAATGATTCAACAACACTGATTGTAGTGTGAACTAGTGTAGTGTTGTTGCTTTTCAGTGTATTCAGTTGTCCCTGTTCCATTGTAACACAAGAATGAACTGTGATAGTACACCATTATTGTTTTTGCAAATTTGTATATATCTTTATTTTATATTTTTTTTAGGGTCGCGAAAAAAATCACAATTATAAATGGGGTCGTGAATTTAAAAAGTGTAAGAAGCCATGATTTAGAATAAAGATCTCTGACTCTAAAACAGAAAAACTAATACTTATATGTGAATACAGGAACAGTTAGCTTCATTTTGCTATAGTGCATGTTTAAAATAACTGTGAGAATACAATGATGCATATGATTAGCAGTGGCATTATGAATGGCATATATCATATCTGATGTCATTGACCTACAGGCCCATTACAATGCATTTGCAGCTTGCCAATAACACCTTGCACTGCTGGATATGCATCATAAATTGATGTTTTTAGGTTACCTCACAGGAAAAAATCCATTAAGTCATGTCTAGGAACATAACTGCATTATCCTATTAGTCAGTAGTTTAATTAATCATTCTGTGAATCACTAACATATATCTGCCCAGGAATGAGCTGACATACCATCCTATTAATACCAAACCTGCTGAAGTTGCTCCAATAGCAAATCATCAACCCATTTATTTACTATCATGTTATGATGTTAAGATGGCAGTCACTAGTCAGAGGTCCATTAATGAGTATAGATGGGACTAAAAATCTGCTCATTCCAGATACTATACCAGATGTTTAGTGTAAAATGTACTTATTGTTGTGTATTTCTTGTACTGTACATTGTGGAGCATGTTATGCCCAGTAGTGCACATTTTGGAATTTACACACCATTCTGGGGAAGGTACCAATCTCTACTAATAGAAAAAAATATATGACCATATTGAAATCTTTCTTACATTTATAATACAGTGATTATTTAAATACATGTACTGTACAAATATTAATTTAATAATGTATTGTACAAATATTATATTTAAAATGTATATAGATTCTGGAATTTCTAGAACAATTACTTCTCTAAATAAACATTTTTGAGACTATCAAATTTTTAATTAATTTAAAAATCTATGTTTTTAAATTACTTTATTGAATATTTCAGATATTAAAGAACATGCTAGACACATTGAAAAGGCAGTTTTGTCAAAAGAACCTAGATTTATTTTGAGAGTTCTTCGTGTATTAGTATCAACACGGAAAAGATTGAATCCAAGAGTATTGAAAACTCTAGTTAATGGATTTTATACACAGTCATCAGCACAAAGAGAAGCTCTCTTATCATTTATTTCAACAGAAGAGGTAATAATAGCTTTAAAATTTTGTGAAAGTATTGATTATTTTAAAATTAAAATTGTAAAATATAATTTATTTTAAGTAAATAAAGATGTTTGTTACATAAAATTGTACCAAAAATTTTAATATTAAAATCTAAATATTTCTATTGGCACTTTATTATTATAAATTTAACTCTGTTTATTCATTTATAAACAATAACATATATCTACTTATTATTGTCTAGCACCATGAGTTTCTCCATAGCGGAGTTTCCTTGATTTGGGAACAGCACAAAAAAATGCACATCACATGATAGACAACTCAAATTATAAACAAAATGTTAAAACTATAAAACCAAATTACAAATTAAAACTCATAAATAATTGCACTTGTAATTCAAGTTGGGAATCTGTTTACAAAAACAAAAGGAAAATTCTCAAACAACATCTACAAAAGTAGTAGTATATACAATCCACCAGCTTCAGCCAGATCTCCCAGTAAAACTGTCAAATAGCAGTATATAAATACAAATTAGATACTAGCTTCATGAATCAGGAAATAAAAGTTTACCTACCTCACATACAAAGTGAAATAATTTGTAGTAATGACTCTTATTAATCATAATTCAAATAACCTTAAACTTCACAAGCAAATATTTGCTGTTGCAAATTAACTACTAATTTACATTCAGCCAATAAATTGAAACATCTAAACAAGAATCTTCTCTACAAACTTGACAAAATTATTTTTTATACTTTAGTAGAAAAGAAATAGCATCATATCTGACTTACAACAAAAAAATATCAGAACAAACAATCCATTAGCTTTGGACAAATTTCCCACAATAACACACATGTTTTCTGTTGTTTGCTCATCAATGTTCATAAAAATTTAATATTTATAAGTAGTCATTTGGGTGTTACTAATAATATCAGTTGTATTTATAAATACTGCATATGCATACACAAACTAATGAAATGTTTGAAAAAGTTACTTTTGAAATTTCTCTTGCGAAATATTTAGTATCACTTTTAGTAAATCATAAAAAATGATATGCAAGATGAACTAATAAGTTGGAAAATTTCATTGTTTATAAAAATGGAATAAATGAGAATAAGACAAATTTACTACCATTTTCAAAACTTTTAAACAGAAAACATTCATAACTAACTTATAAACAAAAACATCTTAAATTCTTTTTTTAAAAAATCTTAAAAAATAGATTTAGTTTTATAAACTTAATTATAATTGTTATTTTTTTTAAATATTTCAATAATAATTATTTGATTTTTCATCATTTGTTGTATATTGTGTATTAGTACTTTCAATCCTTCTAAAGGGTAATTTTTAGATTCATCATGTAGTATAATTCATAGAAATAAATTTTAATGCTTATTTTACTGAAATATTTTAAATGCTGAAAAATTAAATGTGTTCATTATTTATTACAAATACAGCTATTCAAAAAGTTACTGTGAGAAATTTGTAATGACATTAAAGTTATGTGTACAGCATTGTCTATAACAGTGTTCTGCAACCTTTTTCTACTCGCAGCACACCTATGACTCGACATGATTCAACACGGCACACCAAAATGTTATTTTCCTCAAAAACGTATGATATGATACTATTGATAGAATTTCGTAATGCCATAAACCTATTATTATTATTATTATTATTATGTTGGGTTTAGTGGGTAATACTCGGTTTAAACCGGTGGCTGTGTACTATGCCGGACCAGAGTCAAGGCATAGCAACCAAAACAAATTAAATAAGTGTGTCAGTGTCAGTGTCTGTATTCAGGAATTTCCTAACAATATGACATGTATTCAATATAGTGGCCTTCTGTAGTGTGATGTATGTATTTCTACTCAATTGTAATGTTCCCAGGCTTTTGTGTAGTGTGTGTGGTATCACACCTGTACAGGAGAGAAC